TTTATGATTTCATTGTTAAATGTTGATGCATTTTTCATTGAAGTCTTCAATAGAATAGATCGAATCTTCAGCAAATATATTTTTATTTTATTTTTTTATTTTAAATTTAAGGCTGCGATGTCTTGGCTCGGATCCTGATACCTGCCACTACAGCCACTTGTTTACTTGTATTGTAACGGCGCTTAGCTGGATACGTTCTAGAGGTGGTCAGTGGATCAGGTGGTAGTCTCACGGTGTTTGGACTCAAGGCTGCGATGTCTTGGCTCGGATCCTGATACCTGCCACTACAGCCACTTGTTTACTTGTATTGTAACGGCGCTTAGCTGGATACGTTCTAGAGGTGGTCAGTGGATCAGGTGGTAGTCTCACGGTGTTTGGACTCAAGGCTGCGATGTCTTGGTTCGGATCCTGATACCTGCCACTACAGCCACTTGTTTACTTGTATTGTAACGGCGCTTAGCTGGATACTTCTACAGGTGGTCAGTGGATCAGTTGGTAGTATAACGGTCTTTGGACTCAAGGCTGCGATGTCTTGGCTCGGATCCTGATACCTGCCACTACAGCCACTTGTTTACTTGTATTGTAACGGCGCTTAGCTGGATACGTTCTACAGGTGGTCAGTGGATCAGTTGGTAGTCTCACGGTGTTTGGACTCAAGGCTGCGATGTCTTGGCTCGGATCCTGATACCTGCCACTACAGCCACTTGTTTACTTGTATTGTAACGGCGCTTAGCTGGATACGTTCTACAGGTGGTCAGTGGATCAGGTGGTAGTCTCACGGTCTTTGGACTCAAGGCTGCGATGTCTTGGCTCGGATCCTGATACCTGTCACTACAGCCACTTGTTTACTTGTATTGTAACGGCGCTTAGCTGGATACGTTCTACAGGTGGTCAGTGGATCAGTTGTTAGTCTCACGGTCTTTAGACTCAAGGCTGCGATGTCTTGGCTCGGATCTTGATACCTGCCACTACAGCCACTTGTTTACTTGTATTGTAACGGCGCTTAGCTGGATACGTTCTACACACAAGTCCGTAGCCTAGGTTAAAAAACACCAGGAGTTCTTGTAAACCAATAATAATACAGTAAATATCATCACCTAATAGTATTTAAATGATAATCAATACATTACATACAGTTTTAGTCGATGATTTGTTTATATATTAGCACAGATTATTGTTTAATGTTCTAATCTCAATTTATCGAACGACAGTTAATTGATTTTCTCTTACAACTGTAGAAATATCTGTAAGTTGTCCACTTCATCAGATTGCAATATTACATTGTAGAAACATCATAATGTTGTGATGTATAGTTTCACAACATCATCGAGGATATTTACGATCAGCAAACACAACTGGGCGTGTTTGTTGTCAAATGTTATTGTGTTTCTGTGAATACAAACAGAGCGTGATTGATATTCTTGTTTACCGCAGCTTACTCTGTCCGTCGTCTGAAAAGGAAACCGATGCTGATGACATTTTGCGAATTCCGGTTTGTAAAGAAAATACTATTTCATTAATATTACTGAATTATTTTTACATTGAAGGTGCAGCGTTAATAATACAACAAAAAAGTTTTTCTAAAAGTCCGATTGCTATTAAAAATAAATTGCTACAGTGATAGTTTCAAAATAACGGTTATTTTTAAATATGGACAAACTCACTTGCAAATTATATTTGAATCACTATATTGGAATAAGTTTGTGGTGTGTATTATAATGGTTAGGTATAAACACATCATTCTATTGATGAGTAAATTATTACTTAAATAACAAGATCTAATTATTTAACAAATGTTTTTTTTCGCAACGTAAAACGTAATGTAGAATTCACGTTATATTCAAATGTAAATTTTACTTGATAATTAGCAACATCCCAGTTTGGTATACATTTAAAAAAGTATAACTATTGTTTACATGTTCTGTAAAAACATTGGAATGAAAGCCTTAGAGTTTAAAGCCTGTAGTTTTAAGCTTTACTGTTAAATTAACGCAAACGTTGTGCAATATTATATTTTTAAACAGAAACAAATTATAACTCATTTCCATTCTAGCTCCTGAGCTGTTTAACATAGTTCGCTTACATTGGCTTCAATTCTGCATTAGGTTCGAATGTTTAACAATGAAATATAGTTTTAATATGTAATTAGTACTGTATTGACTACGTAATAAAGATATCTGCTAACTATTATTCGTTGCTGTGTTTGTGTGTTTTTACAGACGTACTCTCAACCACACACACATACAATATTATTGACTGTAAGTCATGTAGCGGGCATTACCATCCAAACCAAAGCTATCAATCATAATGAAGCAATTAATACCACTTCTAACCTCATTACTTGGAAAGCGGTCCACTATACCCTGTAGCACGTTTCATTTCCTTATCAATGTTAAATAACACAGATTTACCTCCATTGTTTCGCATGTTAACATTTTCCACTCTTGAATACATATCGCTAAAATCTATGACAAAAAGATATTAAGTTCTTAATAATCTATTACATTATTGTATAGTTTTATGCCTTGTAATAGCGAATTAGTTATTCATATCCTTATTAATCGGCTTATTATTTTAACTACATTGTCCAACAATAATAGATTTTTTGAGCAGTAAATGAACGCATTTCTATTTACGTTAACACAATAGAGGAGTTAAAGAAATTAAATATGAAATGTGACATGTAATTTTAGAATTGTAATTTTAAAATGTGTATTTGATTGGCCAAACCAATGACTTTGGTAGTTGTTCAAACAACGTTTCTTAGTCTTTTCCACACGATTTGTACATCATATAGTTTTTACAATCTCTGATCTTGTTATAAACTTACATTTATAACAGAAAAACAATCCGTAACATTCGTTACAAGCAAAGTACTTATCATTAAAATTGTTAACCTAAGCTAAGAATCCGAAAAAATCTATTGTTTGTTGTCAGGGGATTTATGACGTAAATTTCATCTTCCTAACAAATGCAACATCTAACTACTGATATTGTTTTAAAACTTCAAAAAGTCTTGCTGATATTATACGTCATTATAAAAGCAGCATTTCCTTGAAAAGCGGTTGGATCCGAAACTGTCGTGAACTACACCAATGCCAAGGACTACAGAGTAATTTCAGCGTTAAAGCTCCTTACTGCCTTGTTGTAGTTTATGGACTTAAGGTCTTGAGAGAGCGACACTAACTTGGCGTTATTTTGTTCTAAGCCAGTTTCAATCAGGGAGCTTCTGAGCCGGACTGAAGAGTGAAGTACAGGTTGAAAATGTAATTCTTGGGTTCTGAATAAGATTATACATGTTCGTAGAGATAAACTGTAAACCATATCGACGTAGTTAGCGTATTGAGTTAGATGTTAGAATTTCCAGAGACATTATTGCCTTATTTCTATAATTATTTTTTATGTTAAGTTTTTCGTGTTTTGTGTCAATTAACATAAATTATTAAATTTAATTATATGGTAACTTTGAATAATAAGAGAAATCCTGCATGATAGTACCAAGACGAAACAAATTAGTGTCAAGAATACATAATGATTTGGGGAGTAAGTACTGTACGTAGGTAGTAGTCGTCCATCGAAGTGAGTAAGCTGACATTGAAATACAAGGAATTTGACACAAGATGGCTTACTAAAAATTAATACCTGCTGTTAATTATTATTTTGACGATAACTATTGATGTAACAGCATTATATTCATTATAAGGAAATTCTTGAGGGCTCATTAGGAATAAGTGCTTTCCGTTAAAATGTCAATACCTGTTAACGATTTACGCTGTGCTTTCTGAAGTTAATCTTTTATTTTACATGTAATGCAATTTTATATGATGTTTATGACAGATTCTTCCATCAAATATCACCGACGTAAATATTAAAAGCCGTACTTCTATTTTAATGCCCTTTTTTCAAGATTAAATAAGAAGAAATGCGCTATCATTACATAACCACAAGATTCTGATAGTAAAAAAGAAAATGTGTAATCATAAGTTTAAGCTGGTAAATAAAAAAAAATGGCTAACTGCATTATGCATACATATGTTTTATGTTCATTCTGTATTTCTACTGTAATTTAAAAAAAAAATATATATTTTTATCTTACAACATATACGCTCGGTGGCAGTTTAGGCTTTTTTTTTTGTCTGACCATGTTGATTGCTTTGGTTTTACTATTTAGCAATTATAAATCTATGTCCTCTTGAGGAAAATCGTGTAGTACGTTTGGGGAATATGTAGCGATGTCGAAGGTGACCTAGTGTTAGTCATTGCATTTCATTAGTATAGTTCACTGTACTCTATTGGGTCACCCCTTGCTTTACTGAATACATCCCATGTGGATGGGCAGATGGAAGCTTAAGAGAATCCACCAATCTCTTAAAAAATATCATATACAAATTAAACTACTTTAGGTAAATGGTATGTCTTTAGTTATGTATTTGGTAACTTAGTTTTACTTTAAGAATGTTTACAGTAAAATCAATATAATTGCTTAACCTGTAGTGCCAATGCATGTTTAAATAGAAATTTAGAGATTTATTTTATTACCAGATTAATAATATGTTTTAACCCTAACTTTCTTCTTCCTAAAAACATATCGGCCTTTCAATTGTCTATAGTTTTTTTTAGAGATAGTGTGTCAAGATATTGTTAGGGGTTGCATAAGACGTAAGGCGCTAGTTGGGGTTACTACGGAGGTACTGTGTGATATTCTGCTCAGTGTATGTTGTTAAATTAGTTCCTTCACACGTCGAGTTTCGATACGCGCCTGAATATGTGTAAAGTAGGATGTTAACAGAATTATGAGGGTGATAGTCGGGGGCTACTACATGATGGTACTGCACCCCATAATCAGTAATCACCACTATTGTACGTGCTGTATCTCGTGGTAATGTCCCTCTTGCGGCGTGCCGCGCCACGTACCGAGGTGAGGGTGACGTTGGAGGCGGCGCAGGCGCGGGGGCGGTGGTCGGGGGCGGCGGCGACGGCCACTCCGCCACAGTGCGCCGCGACTACCACCGCGACGGAACGGTGCTGTGTAGTGTAGTGTCTCACAGATGACTAACTTATGTGTATCGACGAACGTTCTCGTTATTGCACATAGGTGAGTCACTGGTAAAATACTATGAACTTTTTTGATGATGTTTATAAAAAAAAATATCTATTATTTAAATAGTTGATAATTTATGTGTAGTTCAAAATCATCCAACTTGTGTTAAACATTTTGTTAAGTGATACATATATAATTCTTTTCTGAATTTATTTAACTTAAGTTACATACTTGTAAGATTATTTCTGTAAATAGTCACACATAGGGTCAAATCCCTCATATGAATAAATCAGTACTCATATTTGGTGAAACGATTTTTTTAAAGCTAAATTTAATGAAAATAGTCAACTGAATAAGTTACTAAGACTACTAACAATTTATCCTCATAATTCATTTAACATTTGTTCAACTTATCGAAACATGTTCAATTAAATGTCTTAACATTATTTTTCTTTCCATAAACTTATCCTGTTTTCTATGTTTTAGAGTCTTTGTATAGTTAATTTAAAATGTTTATAAATATTATAAAACCCCACTTGAATACTAGTCAGTATTGATATTTAGTTTAACATAAATTTTAAAAGATTTATCGTTTAAAAAATATTAAACTGTAAATTGCAAACTATAAAACTATAATCATATCATTAATACACATTTTTCCCCTAAACTATAAACATAATAATAATTATTATTATTATAATGGTGTATTTTTATTTTTATTATTTATGTATTTTATTTACATTATATGCCTATCACTATAGAACTATAATATTTTTAATAAAGTATTATTAATTTTCCTTAAAACAGTCTACCAACTTCGAAAAGCCCCAAGAATATAAACAAAAAGAGTTGGATTATTTTACTATCTTATGCACAAACATTCTAACCATCAAAAGAACCCTCAAAACTCTATGAGATGAAAAATAAAAGCATACAGATTATAAACAAACCTTGCATTTCTTTTTATTACTTAACTGAAACTTAGCCTTCAAATTGGCAATGAATTGGAACTCTCTCAAAATTGTTGAACAACATCAACTATTATTTAAAATTTATTGGCATGTAAAGTATGATTCTGTATGAGATATTCAAAATGGCAATTGTAACAATATTAATATTCACAAACATTTATGATATACACAAATATTATTCTTTTCAAATATTCAAGTATGCTATAGACGAGACTTTAAATTATACGTAAACACTGAAAACCAACCAAAATATGGACATAAATATACTCGTATTTTGAATTGTTTAGAATTTTTGATTACATAAAAAAACAATTTTACTTATAAAATTGTATTTATTTTTTTAGAGAAAACTACTTGTATACACTCTATTTCATTTAAATCAGGCAATTAAAGTTTATCCATTATGTTATTTTCTATGGAATTTTCAATGGCCTCAATTGAATAGTACTACTTTGGGGTATATTAAAATGTCTTTTCTGACACACTCAGTATTATCACTTATTTTGATTCTACTATCAACTGTTTTATCTCCTAAAAAACTAATACCTCCAAAAAATACACAACGTCCTTTAATTTTATCACAAATTTTGTTATGCTGTATTTAAAATTAAAATTATCTCAGCAACCGTATACGCAATCTAAATAACAAATAGTTTTGTAAATATTCTGTTTTCCGAAATATTTGTTAACTTGTTGTATTGTTTTAACAACTTTTAACTTATATTCATGTAAAATGGAGAACAAAATTTAATCCCTTGAAAAATACGAAGCTTAGAAATAAAAAGTCAAATGTAAAACCTGACAGGACAAAACTGGGTCAACACATAATGAAGTTCTCTTTAGCCATAATTCACAAACCACAGTTTCAAAAGCGACATTGAAAAGTTGGCTTTTCAGCTTGACGCATCCCAGTGAATGATTGTATTGACGATAATGTCAAATAATTGCAATTTATGATGGCAGTTCATTGTAATGTATCAGTGATTATCTTACTATTTTCAGTACTATTTAACAAACATTTAAAGTTTGATTTGATAATAAAGGTCTGCATTACTTGTTTTTGGCTAACATGGGGCATTTAGTCGTGGTTGAAATTAAAATGTTTTCTGAGTCCACTCATAAAACCTTTAATAAAAAAAAATCAGCCACACAATATTGATCATGGCGATCAGTTGTTTTTAAACGACTGATAGTGAACACGAAATCGTATTAAATTGTAGGAACCAAGTATTCGAAAATTAAATTAAGTTGTCCATAGTGTATAATTTTATTGATAAAAGGGACAGTTCTAAAATCCAGTTAAAACCTTTTAGAAATAAAAGATTTTACATTCATAACATTTTTAATACATACACAATTTTGTCTTGACCATGATTTTCTTACCATAATTAAAGTAAGCAGTCTTGATAGTTTCATGTTCCAGACTGTGGGTATTTTATTTTCAGTTATATATCATCACTAGAAATATGTTAAATCGAGGATGAAAAATAGAACTGCTGTTCCGAAACACAGCTATTAAATATACATAGTCCTTAATAAAGGGAAAATCTGACAATGCAACAAAGCATTCAGGTCGCGTCTCTGGGATGGTAACAAATCTTTCTCCTTGGGACTAATGCTGACTTGTAATGAATCAAAGTCTGCTTTTCAGGAATATTAAATCTCTTTCACCAGGTAATATTAGATCCCCCTGGATTCATTCATTGTGTTGCAAATGTTTCTTTTAATGTCTCATTAGGCTGAGAGAAAATCCTCTCTAAGAAGGTTCTATATTAAATGTGACTTGTGACGGAAAATGGTAGCCACATACATAACATGATAAACACCATGTGATAACTAAGTACTTCGTGTATTATGTAACGCCTTACAACAATTCATAAGGAATTAAGGTATAAATCTAAATTCATCAACAAAACTTAATTTGTTGAGATTTTTTTACTATTGGTGTTAAATGTGACCCTTTACATTATTTTCTTTCATGGAGAGCTAAGTGAATATCTTATCAGGAATACAATATATTTTGTAAATTTTATATAATTTATTGGTTTGAAAAAGATATTTTGACAATGTTATTAAATGAATATACAGACATTTGAATGGAGACTCCCTATATTAATTAAATATTTTAGGACCTTGTTATTTTTAGTAATTTTTACTTTTTATTATTCTATAAGCGTGTTCAAATATTCAAATATGTGTGGTTTATGAGTAATTTACATAGAATCGTTCACCGGAACATGTTAGCAATTCATATTTTTCCATATAACGAGGCCAGAAGTCACGAAATAAAATTGTTATTCATAACCGAGGACCGACTGGAGCGTTATTTTTGCTAATTCAATTGTTTTGCAATGCAAATTGATTATAATTTAAATATTTTTATTTTTTTATTTTTATTTATATAAAACTACACGTAGATACCAGTGCGCAAATTGTGCATGTTATTAGGGTTGACAACTTGTCTCTAAGGCATAACGAATAATGCCATACCCTTTCATTCTTCAAAGATTATGTTAGCAGAATAAAATTGCATTTCAGATACTATCGTCATAGGAAATTCAAATGATGTCAATGTTTCTTTACCTCAATTATTAGATTAATAAAACTATCAATTTGTAGTTTTTAACACATGTCACCTGCATATCTCTATACCAAAAGAGTTATTTACTCTACCTTGATCATGAAAACGGCTATCAATAAAAACGGTCTATTCAAAATAAATGTTTTAAACTCTCGTATTTATAGTTTAAATTTGCTTAAATTTGAACTAAAGGTAATTAACTGTAAAATTCCAAGTCTTATTACAACTTGCTTAAACCAAGTTTGTCAGCAGCATCTGTACCTTTGATAGAATTAATCGAAGGCTACGACAGCGAAGACCTAAAGAGAGTTGCCTTTTGTCTCTCCGCTAGATTATAAGAGTTAAACGACACATGAATCGTAAACATTGTTAAATAGGACGAATAAAAAGGGACGTTGTAGAGAAACCCATAACTGTATTAAGCATATAGAATTAGATTATTATACGAAAACGTTTAGACCCCATTAAATGTGGAATGATGGGCAAAATCTCAATCAATCGACCAAAATTGAAAAGTCTTTACACTCCAGCCAAGAAATAAACCAGATTTAGATGCATTCCAAATTAAATAAACCTGTTATTATTAGAAATTACTTAAAAAAAAAAACATTACCCTATTTATTCGTAATGTATCCACAACCTTTATATCAGTTGAGTGATTTGCATCCCTTTGGCACAAAAATGGGTTTGCGTTTTTCAATTGATTCAATTCAACTTTGAAACTACCGTTAGTTTGTGTAAAATTAAACTATTGTTCTTCGTATAACTACGGTTAAAAACTACAAATTGATAGTTTTATTAATCTAGTAATTGAGGTAAAGAAACATTGACATCATTTGTATTTCCTATGACGATAGTATCTGAAATGCAATTTTATTCTGCTAAAATAATCTTTGAAGAATGAAAGGGTATGGAATTATTCGTTATGGCTTAGAGACAATTTGTCAACACTAATAACATGCACAATTTGCGCACTGGTATCTATCTAAGTATATCTATCTATACTATACTATTTATTATAAAAAAGAGGTGGTGTCTGTGTGTATGGGAAAAGTAAACGCGAAAACTACTGGTCGGATCGGGCTGAAATTCGGCATGATGATAGCTCATATTCCCGATTAACATATAGGCATATTCTTATTTCAAAAATCCTTTCGGGCTCCGCCCCAGTGGCTCAAACTCGAAAAATACTGGTCGGATTGGGCTGAAATTTGGCATGATGATAGCTCACATTCCCGATTAACATATAGGCATATTCTTATTTCAAAAATCCTTTCGGGCTCCGCCCCAGTGGCTCTGGAGTTTCCCATGTTAACCTTATGAGAAATAAAATTATTGAATCTTAACAGCTGTTTCAATTAAACAAGTTGGTTCTGTTCTGTGATGTTCAATAGCATTAAAGTTACAAGGATTACCAACAGGGTGCAGCACTAGCACTATTATTTCTTTTACATTTATGACAACAGCTAATTTGCAACCAAAAGGTGAGTGAGCGTAGCGAA